ATGAGGTCTCGCTGCCCAGGCGGGTCTTGAACCCGTGGGCTCAGGCAATCCACTCACCTCGGCCTCTCAATGCGCAGGATTACAGGCTGAGCCACCGAGCCCGGCTAAACTTCACCTTCTTAGAGGCCTTGCCTGACCATCTTATCCCCACCCTGCTTCATTTTCTTTATAGCTAATCACTAGCTCTCATCTAGGTCTTGTCTTGCTCTGTAGCTCCAGAGCCTGAGCTACAAGAGTATTTGGTCTAATATACAGGTGCTCCAGAAATATTTATGCGTGTCCTCTATTCACCCAACAAATATATTTGAGCAGCTACTGTGTGTGAGGTCCTGTGCACAAAGTTGGGTACAGCAGACAGCCCCAGCCCTCAAAGTCACACTGGGCCGGCACAGCATACAGTCAAGGTTGCCGTCTGATGAGATGCGAGGGTGGACGTGGTCACTGGGGAAGTACAGGGTGTGATGGGAACTCCCAGTCTGTACCCAGAGGGACTGTCAGTTGAAGGCCTTCCAGAGAAAGCTCAGACTTGAGGCTAAGTAAGAGTTGGCTTGGCCAGGCATAGTGGCGCATGCCTGCAGTCCCAGTTACTCAGGAGGCTGAGGCAGGAGGATTGCTTAAATCCAGGAGTTCAAGTCCAGCCTGGGCAACATAGCGAGACCCTGTCTCCTATAAAAACAAAACCAAACCCAAGGGTTGGATAAGGGGAAGGGAGAGGGTGATGTATATTCCAGGCAGAGAGAACAGAGTGTGCAGGTGCCCCATGGGAAGAGAGCCCAGACATTAGAGGAATTGAAAATAGTTCAGCCCGGCTAGGTCCTGGCAGCAAGCGGCAAAAGATGATACTGAAAGTGCGTGCAGAGCCAATCTATGCAGGCCCTTGTAAACTGTGCTAAGGCATTAAGGAAGAGCATGGGGGAGCCACGGTGAGAGTTTGAGCAGGGGCATGGTACCATCAGATTTGTAAACATGGGTGACAGTTTGAGCAGGGGCGTGGCACCATCAGATTTGTAAACATGGGTGACAGTTTGAGCAGGGGCGTGGCACCATCAGATTTGTAAACATGAGAAAGCTCACTGTTACTATGGTATGGGGAATGGATCGGAGGAGACAGGGAAATAGTGAAGAGGCCACTGTTAGAAATAAAGAAGCGAGCTGGGCTCGGTGGCTCAGCCTGTAATCCCGCGCCTTTGAGAGGCTGAGGTGAGTGGATGGCCTGAGCCCGTGGGTTCGAGACCCGCCTGGGCAGGCGAGACCTCATCTCTACAATAAATTAAAAAATCAACCGGGCATGGTAGCGCGTGCCTGTAATTCCGGCTACCCGGAAGGCTGAGGCGGAAGGATTGCCGGAGCCCAGCAGGCGAGGCTGCGGTGGCCGGGAGCGGCCACTGCACTCCAATCTGGGAGACAGAGTGAGACTCCAACTCAAAAAAAAAAAAAGAAGCAGGCAGATTCCAGCAGGGTTTGGGAGACAGAATCAATAGGATTTAGTGATTAATTGGTTGTTGGGGGAGAGGATTTTGAGACTAACACACAGGGTTTGGTAGTACTACTCACCAAACAGGGAAACTCAAGTTTAGGTATAAGTGACAAAGTTATGAGTGGGCCGGGCTGAGTTTCAGGAGACAGCAGGGCATCCAAAGCCAGTATCAGGTTATCCTACCTGTTTCTCAAGGGCAAAAGCCCTGTCTCATTTATCTGTGTATGGCCAATCCTAGTAAGGTCCTGGCACAGAGAACACCAAAGTGTGCTGAACAAAACAGAAACAGCCTTAATAACTGGCTGGAAAACAAGTGTCAGGTAGATTCCCCAGGACAGAGAAAAACTGAGGAGCCACGTGCCTCAGCTGGGATGGCTAGGATATGCTGCTGTAATCAACCCCCGATCTCAGTAGCTTAAGCAACAAAGATTGATTTCTCACTCACTCTCTGTGTTCATCTTGAATCAATGGAGGCTTTGCTTCATGCAGCCTTCACTTGGGGACACAGGTTGACGGAGCCGCCATCATCTGGACTATCACTTGGTCACCTTGAAGGAATGGAACTTGGCAAACTGTGCTGCCTTTCATTGGCCAAAGCATGTCACAGAGGCTGTGCCTCACTTCAAGAGAGCTTGGAAGTGCAAACCTGCCAGATGCCAGCAAGGAGGAGAAGTGGTAATGCTGGTGACCAGTCTTCATGAATACCAAGAAGCTTAGGTTCCAGTCCGGCTCCACTGTGCAAATGCAGATAAGTCATTTCTCTTTTCTGAGCCTCCGTTTTCTCTGTCTAAGACATGGGACAATAATACTTCCTGCACAGTGCTGCTGTGAGGATCAATTGAAAGAGTATTGCCAGAGTATACTTGGCCCTTCCTATCTATGGGTTCTGCATCCATGGATTCCACCATGGGATCAGAAATCTTTTCTTAATGGATGGTTGGTTGCATCCGTACCAAAATCATACAGACTTTTTGTCTTGTTATTATTCCCTAAATAGCACAACTATTTACATAGCATTTAAATAGTATTAGGTAATATGAGTAATCTAGAGATGATCTAAAGTATATGGGAGGACGTGAGTGGGTTATATGCAAATACCACACCATTTTTTATAAGGGACCTGAACATCCCTGGATTTTGGCATCCTCAGAGCATCCTGGTTGCTCCCAATCCCCTGAGGACATCAAAGGACGAATGGATTTTGCTTAGACAGGGGACGGAGTCCAGGGATGGGAAGCTGTGATGTTTCTCGGCACAATATAGAGGCATACTGAATGCATGGTGACTGCAGTGGCTACGACCACAGGTGGGAGGACAATCTCTGAGTGAGCTGGGAACTGCAGGGCAGATAGAATATCCCTGTCCCTCTGCCTCATCTTCAAATTCTCTCTCTCTCTCTCTCTCTTTTTTTGGTAGAAACAGAATCTTGCTCGATTACTCAGGTTGGAGTGCAGTGGTGTGATCATAGCTCACTGCAGCCTTGAACTCCTGGGCTCAAGCAATCCTCCCACCTCAGCCTCCCAAGTAGCTGGGATTACAGATGTGATTAAATTACCCAGCTAATTTTTTTTTTTTTTTTTTAGTAAGACCATCTCGGTCTTACTATGTTGCCCAGGCTGGGCTCCAACTCCTGGCCTCAAGTGATCCTCCTGCCTCAACCTCCCAAAGTGCTGGGATTACAGGCTGAGCCACCGAGCCCGGCTAGCTCCCTGAATCTTAAGCATGTTCATAACTGTCATTCCTCTACCCCTCATCCCTCTGATGATACAGAGAGCTCCCTGACAAAGCCATTACTGTCAGAAGCAGATGGAGTCTGGAGCCAAAGTGTCTGTCTCACTCTATGGCTGAGAGCCATGACCCAGGTTTGGAGCCTGTAAGGAGGCAGAATAATGACCCCCAAAGATGTCCACATCCTAATCACTGGAGACTGTGAATATGTTACTTTAAATGGTTAAAGAAATTTTGCAGATGCGATTAAATTAAGTACCTCGAGAGGAGAGGATTATCCTGGATTATCAGGTGGGCCTAACATAATCGCAAGAGGCCGTAAATATGGAAGAAGAAGGCGTAGGGTCAAAGAAGGGAGTTGAGCTGACAGCAGCAAAGATCAGAGCAACGCAGTTCCTGGCTGGATGGAGGTCAGGAGCAGGTATGGACTGCAGGTAGCCTCTAGAATCTGGAAAACCTGGGAAAGGGAGTTCAGGGGGAATCTAGATCCCCCAGAAAGAGCACTGTTTTGCTGGCCCTCTTGAATTTAGCTCAGGGAGACCCATTTGAGATTTGTGACCTTGAGAACTGTAAGATAATGAATTTGTATTTGTGGCCATTGATTACAGCAACAATAGGAAACTCACACAGAGCCTGCAGGCTGGACCCAGAGGGCAGAAGCTCCTCACTCGCCCTGGGGCCAAAAGGGAGGCTCTGGAAGGATCCCTCACTTCTCAGAGTAAAGGCGGAGCCTGTCTATGAGCTGCCCCAAGAGCAGCCCTGGGAAAACCCCAACGCTGACTCACTCGTTCTCCCTCATCTCCTTTCCACCTCCTCTCAAGAATTTCTCTCTTCTAGTGACCCCGACACCTTGCACCATGACCCTGAGCAAACCCCTTCTTTTTGCTGGATCTAGATTTCTGTATGCGTAGAAGGAAAGAGGAGATGGGTTAGGGGACTCTCCAGGGGCCCTGGAGGCCTGACACCGTGAGTCAGCATTTTCAGGATGCGATGGACTGCTGAGAGCTCTCGGGTGATGCTCTTGGATGATGCTCTTGAACCGCCCTCCATCCCCAAGCCTGCTTCCCCCGGGAGTCCCTCCCAGAGTGTCTCCTGCTGCCACAGCCAATGCACCTGTACTCAAAACACTGACTTCAGTTACAAGACAGGGGGACAATGCTTTATTACTTGGCACCTATGAAAGGGTGGCTACAGGCCCCCAGGGTTCTTTGCTACTGCAAAGTGGAGGCTCTGTGGTGGGGGCAGCATAAATCAGAGATGCTGGTTCCAGCTGCAGGGAGGGGCCACTGTCCCTGCTTTGGCCCTCCCCCGGTCCCCTTGTCCAGCCAAGCACCATCTGAGTACAGGCCCTCACGGAGCAGGGCAGGGCAACGACCCGGGTTCCTCTGCAGCTCCTGGGAGCCTAAGGTAAGAGCTGTGGGCCTCTCTTGATTCTTTCTTCTTGGAGATCCCAAGACGGGTTGGGAGAAGGGGAGATACCCCAGTTACGGAGAGCCCCTGAGCCTCCGGGGTCTGGATGGCGGAAGGCAGGGTCGGGGTGCTGTCACAGGAGCCCCACCAAAGCTAGGAGTCATCCCTTCCCCTCATTTTTTTGGCTGAGTGAAACATGGGAGCTTTCACTGAGTTGGGCCCATAATAGTTGATGACGGGCTGAGGTCACGCAATAAGTTGAGGGGACACGGCCAGGCTCCTTCATGCAGGACAACAGCGTCTGGGCAGGCTCTCTCCCAGGCAAGGGGAGGGAGGGGCAACGTGAACTGCAGTAGTCACAAGAGGAGGGCTTCCTGGAAGAGGAAGGGCAGGTCCCAGTAGGCTCCCCGGAGAAGAGGTGGTCTGCAGAGTGGGCTGGGTCATGAGGGCCGGCACAGCACACTGGCATCCTCACTGTGGTCACAGTTGTGGGCATCCCAGCGGATGTGAGAGCAGAGCAGTAATGCACTCTCGTCCCCACGGCACTTGACATTGTCCAGAAGGATGGGGCCTCGACCCGGGCCAAAGTGAGCCTCACCGAGGGCTGCCAGGGCCTGGCCACAGCCCAGCTGGCGGCACAGGACACCGGCTGCCCGCAGGTCCCAAGCATCATCACAGACAGTGCCCCATCGTTGCCCCAGGAAGAGCTCTACACGCCCCTCACATCGGTGGGCTCCATTGACCAGACGTAGGTGCCCTGTGGGGGGACAAGACCTGGGCTAGACGGGGCTGGCCCATGCTAGGCCAAGTCAGAGGTAGATAGAGGAGACAAAGGGTATGAGACACAGCACCGCCCTGGGAGCCATGGATGAGGGCAGACAAATGAGATTAAAACAGGACGGACATCAGTCCAGGTGCAGAGGCTCAGAACTGGAAGAAAGCACGCAAACTTTTGTTGAGGGATCTCTGAGTTTCATGTCTGCTCTCTGCCTTGTTCTCTGTTCATAATCAAGTACCTCAGCCCCAGGCCAGCTATTTGGAGACTATGATTACATCCTGTTGTGTCATCGTAGTCACCTCCCTACCCTGTAGATACCTTGAGCTAAATCCTGAATTCTTTCATTGGTTGCCTCAGGACAGGATTCTCATCCCCTCATTTGGATCCCACCTCTAGAAATCTCTAGACTGCTCTAGTTTAAAGCCAACCTCCTTTCTGGACACTGCACCCTTATGAATGATGCCTGAGACCAGCACAAAAGGACAAGAGCTCCAGAACCTCGTCCAAATCTGCTGAGTTTTGCAATCCAGGCTGTGACCTCCCACAAGGCGGGTCCTTCCTATCCTAATGCCTCCACCTCACTTTCGGGGGGCTGCGGGCACCTACCGTCCCTAGGCCGAGGCGTGGGCACCCGGGTGGTCTCAGAACCATCCTGCTGGACTTGCAGTCCCAGCTCCTCTGGGCCTGGCTCCACAAGGACAGAGAAAAAGAGGTGGCTGTCACATTGGGGAATACAATCCTTAGGGCCACGTGGCCTCCTGCCCTCCCCAGGGCGGCCTGTTTTAGGGACAGAGAGAACTCCACAGGGTCCGAAGACCTGCTCCCTGCACCCTGGATCAGAGATGGGTGTTGTGCTTCTTTGACCCTGGGGCCCAAATCAGAGCCTTTGGGACCCTAGCCCGTGGAAGTCCAGGCTATGGGGAGGGGAGGGAGCACCAAATGAGGGTGAAGACAGCAAGTTCCACGGCAGTCTGCGAACAGAAGCATTTCCGACGTCCTGCCAGACTGCAAACACCCTCTTTTCCACTGACTCTTCCCAAAGGTCACACGCTAGCTCTGGGAAGGCTGATCCACTCTCTCTGCTTAGTAGAGTTTTGCAGGGAGCAAACGGCCCCTCCCTTCACGGGCCCGATCACAGGCTTCACCGCTTTGGGAACCGGACCCCGCACCGGCCCCGGGGTCGGGCCCCGAACCGCCGCTCCCCGCGGGCGTCCCAGGCCCCGCCCTGCTCTCCACTGCGAAGGGCGCTCCCTTCCGGCCCCGCCCCGCCGCGCAGGCGCAGAG